AACTCGTTTTTTTCACTTTTATCCAATGTATTACAACATTTAATTGTCAGTTTCACTATAGCTCTGGTGAATTTCAATGGTGAAGTCCTCTGGAAATCTTCAATAATTGTTGTTGATTGCAGATGTGTCTAGTAGTTCCCATCGATTTAGCTTGGAAAGCGGGGAGAATGGCGCTAGGCTTACCGCACCGTGACGTCACTGCTGAAAGATGGCAGGAGGGAGGGGTTACTATATTTGGGCAAAAATGGCCGCTCCCAGACTCATTCATCGCAACGAAACCTATTTATTTTTTATTTTTTACTGATTAACGCTTAATTCATTAAATCACAGCAAACATATTTGTTTCAAGTATAACTAATGATCCATTAATCCGGACTTTTCCTTTAAAGAAAGAAAAGCATCATTATATTCAGACTATTTTCTTAAAGACGTTACGAAACGTTACGCCGCTAGCTCACTCTGGTTGTATATAAAGACCTTCTGATTTAATGTTGGTTCATTAGATATTATTTCTCTTTTACAATTTGCTTTTTCTTTAATTTTTAGACATCTGAAGATTAGCTCTCAGATGCAATACAAACATTGTTCACTGAGGCAATAATACTTTGCAAACAATATTTTAATGATAAAATGAAATCAGATGAAGTTTGTATTCTCTCTCTACACAAGCTGTGTCCATCCAGTTAATAACAGTTTAGGCCATCTCTGTTAAACACTGAGAAGCATGTAGAAGAGTTACCTGGCAGCAATCGTTGCTACATTCACCATCCAGGCCATGATCTGTCCTCCAAAAGTGTTCATCTGAAAACAGTCGATTAAAACACTTAATGACATCACAAAGCTGTGTGCTGTCGTTTAAACTCAGCTTTCTTTTGAACTCTCTCGTTAATGGGTTCATGGTCACCTGGTGACATCGTACTGCAAACTGTGTCTTGACTGCATAGCTATGGTAACAAATGTTTGTTAAGATCTGAGTTAAAGTGAGCATGTAGACATTAAATATAAAGGTCTCTAAGATGGACCCTTGGGGTGCTCCAAATGTAATTTCTATGTTCTCTGACGGACGTTTTCCAATGATGCAAAAAAAACAAAGCTCTTTCCTTCACAGGGATTTAAAGGTACAATATGCAACCAGTGTTGATTTTCCAGCGAGGCTCCCCCCAGAGGGCGAAAGTAAAAATGCACTGTCGTAAATATGCTCAGCTGTTCTCCTGGTTTCTCCGTCAAGCC